TGGGGCTCCCCCCACCCCACCCTGTGAGCACCGCCCGCAGGAGAGACGCCCCCAGGTACCTTACTCCGCGTCCTCCGAGGGCAAGTTCAGGAAAGGCCCGGCCGATCCCTCAGTCACGCGCCCCGGCTTGGGACGTGCACCGACCAGCATCCCTCCGAGCCCTTCACTGGCTCCCACCCCAGGGAGCCCCGCTGCAGGGGGCTCCAGGCCGGGCGCTCCCCTCCCCGCCCCCTCACTGCTCTGTGCACTTTTTCTACATAAACACGGTCCACGGTCCACGGTCCACGTCGCTCTGGTGCTGTGTCTGCAGCTCAAGCTGGGCCCAGAGAACCTTCCCGCCGCCACCCCCACCCCCTAAACCCTCTATATTTTTGAAATAAGCACTTAGTCTGTTCCCTTCCCAATTCTCCCGACCCCTGCCATCTTGTCTGGTTTCCAGATGGTCCCCCTCCTCCGGAAGCATCAGCGTACGCCCACCCTTTGGGTCTGGGCACTGAGGCTCAGCTTCCGTCTCACTGGTGTGGACGCCCCCTGGGCAGAGGGTGACACTTGGTGTGGTCGGGGCAGTGGCTGAGGGAAGCGCTGGGGCTGGAGGAGCCAGAGGGAGGCTTCTAACGGGGAGTCAGAGAGGGCTTCCTGGAAGAGGTGACACCGAGCTAAGGCCGGCCAAGGACGGTGGGCCAGGTTGTAGGTGAGGAGAGGTCAGGCTCCATCTGAATCCCCAAGCCCCAGGGGCCTTTCTGAGCCCCAGGACCTTTACCTTGGACCCTGCAGTTCTCTAGGGAGGGGGCATGGACTCCTGGGTCCACATTATAGGGAACTTTGAGGATGGAAAAGGTGGACCCTCAGAGCCCCTTCCAGCTCAAGGAGGAGCTCGCAGCCAGAGAGCATGTGTGGGAAGAGACAGGTGAGGTGTTATCTGCCCTGGCCGCTTGCAGCCGCCAGATTCCTCTCTGGGGCTCCTCTCCCTGCGCTTCCCAGGCCTCCTGCTCTTCCCCTTCCACATATTCTCCCTGGACAGTGCCGTCCACCCCCTGGCGGGTGACCACCTCCTGGACTGAGCATTCTCGAATGGGCCATCTCCAGTCTCGATTCATTCATTTGCCAAGCGCTTACTGAACACTGGCTGTGTCAGGTCCACAGCAGGTGCTGGGGAGACCATAGGGAACTGAGCAGACCTGCTCCTTGCCCTCACGGAGCTGAGATCTATAGGGGGGAGAGATGACAAGTGACAAGTGTGATGAACCAAAGTTGGTTCATCCACCTTGTTCCTACCCACAGCACCTCCCTAGGCCTCCATATCGCCATCACAAATATAGGGTCTGTTTGTTGCTTGTTTGTATCTGTTTCTGCAACTGGAATGCAAGCTCCTGAGAGCCTGTCAGACACATTTATTTGTCGGATGACATGGTCTCTCCAGTATCTAGAATGGTAGCGGGTATGTGGGAAGAGCTCAGTAAATGTTTGTGAATGAAGGAAAGGTGGGGAAATGAGAAGGAGAAAATAGAGAAGTCGGCGAAGGTGGGGAGGGAGTACTTTCCCCAGCTGGGCGAAGAAGACCTCTGTGAAAATGTCATGTCTAAGCTGCAACGCGACACATTTATTTGTCGGATGGCATGGTCTCTCCAGTGTCTAGAATGGTAGCGGGTATGTGGGAAGAGCTCAGTAAATGTTTGTGAATGAAGGAAAGGTGGGGAAATGAGAAGGAGAAAATAGAAGGCGGGGAGGGAGTACTTTCCCCAGCTGGGCGGAGAAGACCTCTGTGAAAATGTCATGTCTAAGCTGCAACGCGGTTGAGAAAACAGCCAACCAGGCGAAGGAATGAGGAGGGCATTCCGGGCGCAGGAAGCAGCAGGTGCAAAGGCCAGGAGGTAGAGAGCGCTTGGCACATTGGGAGGAAGGGAAGGCCAGTGTGGCTGGATTAGAGCGAGCGAAGGGGAGAGTCGCAGGCAATGAGGTCAAAGAGGAAACAGGTGCCACATCCTGAAGTGCTTTGAAGGCCACAGTGAGGTCAGTAGCCCCAGTGCACCCTCTGACACTGGCCTGCATTCTCTCGGGCACTTCACATTCATCAGCCCTGAGCAGATACTGTGGCTGCCCTACCCACAGTGCTCGGCCCACCTGGAAGTCATATGTAGACACTGCCCCTATGCCTAGCCTCCCCAGCTCTTCCCAGGTATCTGGAGGGTGCTCTCTGGAGGAGGAGTGTGCTCTTGTACCCCACAGGGCTGAAGTGGGGGGGGAGGGGTTGTAACCTCTAACTAGTTAGAGACAGGAGCTGGCGAAGAGACACCCGAGCTTCCTGGCTGCCTGAGGGTCAGTTCTGAGGTTGTTCTCCACCGTCTCAGAGGGTCCCCGTTGGGGTTGGATTCCAATTGTGCACAGCGGTAACCTGTCTGTGGACACACCCTTCATTGGCTTTTTGCCTTTCTCTGTCTTCTTTCTCACTCCTTCACAGTCCCTATTGGGATCACCTCCCCAGTGAAGTCCTTGCACTCCAGTTCTCATTTTTGGGGTCTGCTTTTAAGGCATTCCCCAAACATAATTCATTCAATTCCCCATCTCTGGCATGCACCCAACTGCCATGGTCAGACGTCCAAGGCTGGTCCATTCTAGAAGAAAGGCAGAGACACGGCTCTTCACCAACTCCGGGACGAACCACATCACGCCCGCTCTTGGGGAGGCTCTAGCCTGTTGGGGAGACAGAGATGAGCCCGGATGAGGGCCACTCAGTGTGCTGGGAACTGTATCAGAAAAGTCAAGCAAGTCTTTGCTAAGCAGTAACAGGGCTGGGTACTGAAGGCTGGGTAGGACTTGGCTGTTTGGGAGACGGAGGCATTCTAAGCAGAAGTTTGGGGGTATGAGCATACACAAGTTGGGCAGGGCAAAGGAGTAGGAAGGAAACTAGATTTGGTTGGGGGAAAGGGCAAGGGTGGGCGGAGTTGGGGCCTGGCAGGCCCTGACTGTGATGGAGAGCTATGGAGTGCTTCTGAGCAGGGGACTCACAATGTCAGGCGAGGGTTTGAAGATGATCCCTCTGGATTGGTCAGAACCAGGGGCTGACTCAGCCAGACTCCCTAGGTCAAGGCTGAAAAGTTGGCGTGTTTTAGGGGGTGATTTTGAGCCTGAGGCACTAGGGAAGAGGTAGGGGCTGAGGCCCAGGAAGGAGTGTTCCTGAACTTGAAAGGGTCCACCTCCCAGGACCAGCCTTCGGTCTTGATGTGACCTGATTCAGCTAAACAAAGGCGGGGAGGGGGGACAAGGCCTGGGTGATTTGTCAGCTCACTGCACCTGAGGTAACCATTAACCCCTCCCCTGGGAGAACCCAGGGGCTGGTCCCTTGAGGGGCAGATCCTGGACAGAATGGAGAACTACACAGAGGCAAGCTTGGCGCCAGAGCTGGAGGAGCAGAGGGTCTTAATCGACAACCCTGCTGACATCGTGGTCATTGCTGCTTACTTCCTGCTGGTCATTGGTGTCGGCTTGTGGGTGAGAAGTTGAGGGGGTGTTGCTGGAGCCAGGTTTCTGGGGCCTGGCGCAGGGAGACTGCAGGTGGCAGTAGGGGCAGGATGCCTAGATCCTTGAGGGAGAAACCAGGTGCTGGGGAAAGGAGCGGGGAGACTTGTCGCCCCAAATAAGTCTTTTGATAGCTGTAAGGGCCTAATCACCACTCGTTCTTTGTCTCCCATCCTTGGTTGGCTGTCCTCGGGGACAGCATTCCAAGTGAGGCCTCTGTTCGCCATCTATGTCATGGCTGACAGAAGCCCATGGCCTGAACCGGGGCCCCAGGAAAGTCATGCCGAATCTAGCTACACTCAGGCTTGGGTAGCTGGACAACAGCTTAGGGCTTGGGTGGCTCTGGGGGCCTGGGAAGAGGTTGTGGGGGTGGGGTGTGAACCATTGGGGAGCAGAGCGCGGGTTAATCTTCAGCCTGAAACAAGGCTGAGGAATGTGTTGAGAAGGCTAATGAGGTCCAAAGACGTGCCCTGAACCCAGGTCTCCCCCAACTCCTGTCCCCCAGTCCATGTGCAGAACCAACAGAGGCACTGTGGGCGGCTACTTCCTGGCGGGACGAAGCATGGTGTGGTGGCCGGTGAGAGAGGCGGACTGTGGAGGGGGTAGGGGCTAGAGAAGCATCCTGCTCACCCGTGCCCCTGGCCACCCAGGTCGGGGCCTCTCTCTTTGCCAGCAACATCGGCAGTGGCCACTTTGTGGGCCTGGCGGGGACTGGTGCTGCAAGCGGCTTGGCTGTGGCTGGATTTGAGTGGAATGTGAGCCCCCTTTTTGCCAATAACCCCCACCCCCAGTGGGAACCCCTGGAAGGGTACACCTAGGGAGGCTCGGGCAGAGCAGGTGTGAGACTGATTGTGGGGTGTGGTTGGCTTCAGGTGAGGGTCACGGGTCCAGCTTGGAAGCAGAGGGAAGTAGGAAATGACCACTTTCAGGGTAGGGGTAGGTCCTGCTGCTGACCTGCCATGTGAGCCAGGACCAGCCCCTACCTTCGTGGCCTATGTACTCCTCTCGGAAGTGGGGTGCACAGCCTCAGCGACAGTGAAGTGCTTGTTCCGATGCTCTCGGAAGTGTGGCCTATGAGGCTCCCTGGGCCGAGTTAAAGCCCTTGCAAAGAAGTGGGAGGGAGGCAAGGCTCTGGGACTGAGGCGCGCCTTGGAAAGCTGGGGGGTCAGGGCTTTGCCCTCAGGGCCTCCTGGAGGAGGAGGCCTCTGAGCTGAGCCTCCATGGTTTCCTGGGTTGGGAGGGGAGGGGAAGCAGCCCTTCCTGGCGAAGCTGGGGTCAGGCTGAGGGGTCTGTGCTTGGACTCCAGTGCTTGGGGGTCAGGGGCAGGGACCTCTTGGGAAGGACTGGCCAGGGGTGGTGGCCTGGGAGGCAAGGAGGGCTCTAGTTAAAAGCCCAAGAGGGTGAGAGGGGTCTCATACCCTCAGGGGTAGGAGGCGCTGCAGGCGGGTCTGGGACAGGGAGTGGCCAGCTGCCCTGTGCCCGCAGGCGCTGTTTGTGGTGCTGCTGCTCGGCTGGCTCTTCGTGCCGGTGTACCTGACGGCGGGCGTCATTACCATGCCGCAGTACCTGCGCAAGCGCTTCGGCGGCCATCGCATCCGCCTCTACCTGTCCGTGCTCTCGCTCTTTCTGTACATCTTCACCAAGATTTCGGTGCGCGCGCGAGGCAGGCGGGACGGGGCCCTGGAAGGGCGGGGCCGCGGATGGAAGCGCTTTGGAAAGTCCTGGAGGGGGCGGGACCAAGGAGAAGTAGACGTGAGGTCCCGATGGGGGTTGGGAGTCATGGATTTCTGGGGCCACGGCCACCGTGGGTGAGACCTGGGGAGGTCAGGGCATGGAAAAATGAGGGCGCCTTTGAGGCGTGGCCACCCTGGGCTGTGGTCTGGGCAGGAGGTGGAACTGCGCCCCTGCCCCGGCCTCTGGGCCTGACCTGCCTGCTCGCTCCTCCCCCAGGTGGACATGTTCTCGGGGGCGGTATTCATTCAACAGGCTCTCGGCTGGAACATCTACGCCTCCGTCATCGCGCTCCTGGGCATCACCATGGTCTACACTGTGACAGGTGGCCATGGGGGCGTAGGGAAGGGAGGGGCTCAGGGTGTGATAGGAGCCACGCAGCCAGACTCTGCTCGCAGTCCCGCCTCCGCTTACGAGTGCTTGAGCCAGGGAGTGGGCCATGGCTTTGAAACGTGTTCTCTGGGAAGGGGCACCTTTTCATATTCCAACAACCACGCGGTCTGCACTAGCAGCAGCCTGTCCGGGCTGCCCCCACTGACCAGACCCCTTGCAGGAGGGCTGGCGGCGCTGATGTACACGGATACCGTGCAGACCTTCGTCATTCTCGGGGGCGCCTGCATCCTCATGGGTTACGGTATGCCCCGTGGGGAGGGGGCGGAGGCCGAGGGCAGGGCTCACGCTGAAAGCTGGGACACCACGAGTCCCAGGCGTGGGTTCTAGGGAGGGCCTTGGCGCGGGCGCCCGGTCCCCTGACGGTTTTGCCCACACAGCCTTCCATGAGGTGGGCGGGTATTCTGGGCTTTTCGACAAATACTTGGGGGCAATGACATCGCTGACGGTGTCGGAGGATCCGGCCGTGGGCAACATCTCCAGCTCCTGCTACCAACCCCGGCCCGACTCCTACCATCTGCTCCGGGACCCTGTCACGGGCGACCTACCGTGGCCTGCGCTGCTCCTGGGGCTGACCATCGTCTCTGGCTGGTACTGGTGCAGCGACCAGGTGCGAGGTCAGGGGTTGGGTGGGGAGCAAGGCTGGGGCAGAGCCAGAACTAGTGTGGGCGGGGCTGAGATGGGTGGAGCCTGAAACCATCCGGTGGGGCTGGGTTGAGGGTGTGGGAACCCTGCCTGGTCGGAGCTAAACCCGAGGAAGGGCAGGGGCTGTGCATGGAGCGGAATTGCTGGGTCCAACTGGCAGGGGCTGTGCGTGGAGTAGAATTGCTGCAGCGCTGAGCCAGGCAGGGCCTGAGTTAGAGCCCCGAGTTGAGGCAAGGCCTAGGAGGTGGGGTGTCCGGGACTGGCCACAGGCGGCTGAACGCCCCTGGTCACAGGTCATCGTGCAGCGCTGCCTGGCGGGGAAGAACCTGACCCACATCAAGGCGGGCTGCATCCTGTGCGGCTACTTGAAGCTGATGCCCATGTTCCTGATGGTCATGCCGGGCATGATCAGCCGCATTCTTTACCCGGGTAATGTGTGCCCCACCCAGACCCCTTCCTGCAGAAGGACCGGGTGCCCGCTTCCCATAGCCATTACAGCCCTGAGATGTGGGACCCTAGCCATCCAGTCCCACCTCCTCTCCGTTAGATTCCCAGCCCCCACTGCAGGGATCCGCGTTCCCGGACCAGGCCCTGTCCTAGGTGTGTCGTGCCCTCTCCCCCAGACGAAGTGGCGTGTGTGGTGCCCGAGGTGTGCAAGCGCGTGTGCGGCACCGAGGTGGGCTGCTCCAACATCGCCTACCCGCGGCTCGTCGTCAAGCTCATGCCCAACGGTGAGGGCGAGCACACAGGTGGCCCCTGCCCACAGTGTGGGCGGCTCTGGAGCCTGACGGGGCAGGAATCACCAGCTGCCCAGCCCCCCCCTCCCCCACGCCCTGGTCCCGGGACTCACTGCTCCCGTCGGCCCGCAGGTCTGCGAGGACTCATGCTGGCGGTCATGCTGGCCGCGCTGATGTCCTCGCTGGCCTCCATCTTCAACAGCAGCAGCACCCTTTTCACCATGGACATCTACACGCGCCTGCGGCCTCGCGCGGGGGACCGCGAGCTGCTGC